AACGAATGACTTTATTCCCTACATTCGTCCACTACTTTTTACCCACAATGCATTCTGATTTCAAGTGTACAACCCATGTACACTCGCTGAAGTACTATTTCCCACAATCCAATGAGGAGAACCGGCGAGCTGGAAGAGAGAGTGGGAGCGAGCGAGTTTGAATGAGAGATGCCGTTTACATCTTTATTATTTCTGCTTTAACGTTTATTTCATACATTATTTATATTAAAATATGTTATGTAGGCATAAATTTACTAATTTACTGAGGTGGCATCGTTGTTAACTTACAAAAATGATGATAATTTGGTGTATAATTTAAAAATGTTTGTTAATCACTTGTAGGTAGCATATTCATTCTGATGTCAAATGAACGGTCGCCTGAGGGGGCTCTACGACCATTATCTTATCTGAGCTCAAAACGCTGCTCGTGAGTGTCAAGATACTAAAAATAATAAATACATAAAATTATGAACATGTGTTAATGTGTGTTTATTTTTGTTCTCAGTATTTTAATAGTATTTAATGATTATGAACATAAAAGCATTACAAAACTAATTAATAATATACCATCGATGAAACCACAAAGCTGACGCGAAGGTATGTATAATTACAATATAAAGTCATTTTGAGCGTTATTGCTATTAATATTATTTTCTAAAATAAGTTACATCATGTAATATAAAAGTACATATGTGACGATGTTTTTGCAACTGCTCCAAGTCTCATGCGCAGTGTATATGTCACCGTCTGAATCCGTTCACTTATTTTGTTCATTCCTTTCTGATATAGTGCACTCAACTGCCATGCACTATATATAGGTAAAAATATATAATGAGTGAGCGATTTCGGACACAGCTGAATTTGTGTTTTGTTGCAAAAGCGAAAACTACTTTGCTTGGTCTTCCAAAAGAGGACACGACTAGAAATCAGTGGTTAAGTTGTATTTACAACACTGTTCCAGAACAGTTCAACCCAAATATTCAGATGTGTGCAGCACATTTTATGGAGGACTGTTTCCAGGGAGAGTAGACTACAATGCCGGCTGTGACAGACTGTAAGTAAGTTTTTTATATTTAAAGAATTTGCCACTGATGATTCAAATGTGAGTTTTGAGCAGTGTAGAGTAGCGCTTGTTGTTTGTCATTTCTCCAATCACAAATGCAGACATGGTTTTATGTTTACACGGCGCGATGCAACGCAATGCGTAAAAAGACAGTATATGTCATTATAATCCGTAATGATGTCCCCACTGGAAGCAACAAATGCCTAGTTTATAATGGGTTTTCATGTTTTTGAATCATCACAGTATGGTAGGGGCGTAACATTTCCGTCACACGCTTGAGGTATTCGGCCAATCACAACGCACTGGATAGCTGGCCAATCAGAGCACACCTCGCTTTTCAGACCGATGAGCTTTATCCACCTTTTCATGTTGTTTAAATGGGCGCGGCCATTTGTAAATTCTATGGGTCTGGCTTCCGGTCTCATCTGCGTCCAGCTATTTTTAGCTGAACAAAACAGTTCGTTTTGCTGCTTGATATTGAAAGTTGGTGCGTCTTATATTATTTTAGTGTATTATCTTAATTATGAACACACTGGTTTGTAGTGCAAACAGTTTTACCGGCTACTACATGTTGTTGTTCTCCTCGTTATTTACCTATAGCGGCTAATGAACCGGAAGTCTCACCCATAGGCTTACTTCCGCGTTGAAGAAAAAGGTGGATAAAAATCAACGTGTTTCAGAAAGGCGGGGCATAGAGGAGAAACAATAATGTACAATATGTGGAAAATAATGTGGTTTTTAAACCTTAAACCACATAAACACATTTCATTACACCAAATACACAAAATAATGTTCTTTTTAGCAACATCATATGACCCCTTTTAATATGCATTATGCATTACAGAGGCAAGATGAAAAGAAAATCTAAACTTTTCTAAAGACAGTCAGTTTCCTTCAGAGATACATTCGTATTCATAACCAACATGAATCGTCAAAAAAAAAATTTTAATCGATTTTCAACCGGCTCGGGGTGCATTACATTATATGAATCATACGTTAGCTTACCTTGCCATCGCTGGTGCTGACGGGGATTTTGCTGGAAAGCTTCCTATAAAAGCCAGCGATTCTACTGTTTACAGGCTGCATATCTTCCAAAACATACTCACTCAGCCACAAGTCTCTTCACTTCTCAGGGTTCAAGTAGATATAGTATATTTTATTGCATATTTTTATTTGTAATTATAATATTGAATTATTGAAAAGTTACACATTTTTGAACAATTACATTTTACTAGTAAAACTACACATTTATGTTGAATGCTACACTCTAAGGAAAGTATATAAAAACAGGGCACAGTGTACTGTGTTAATATGAAGGAATTTTGTGTATAAATTTTTCACCAGTATTTAACGTATTTTAAATTACACGTTTTTAAACGCTGCCATTATCATTTTGATAGATAGATAGATAGATAGATAGATGTGGTTTAAGAGGTAAAATGCATGCCTTTTTTATCATTTGAGTCACTTTTCAAAAGTTACTAAAAGTTGACAAATACATTTTAAAAATAGCTACATTTTTTGCTTGGTGCTTTTTGAAAAGAAAGTTGCTAGGGTAGTCTAAAACTGATGATACACGGGGCAACTTTGAGCAATGTTACCGCCAACGGGCAACCAGATGAGACAACAGGGCCATGACCGATCTAAAGTATCCAGATAGATATTTGTTATCCATTCTCAATGTGAAAGTGCCCAAGCAACATTGCTCAAAAAAAGTTGCTCAAAAAGTTGGCCCGTATCATCAGCCTAAAAGGTTGCTAAATCTTGCAACAAAATTGCTAAGCTGGCAACACTGTCTTCGACTCGGTGGCACACGTATTCCAGCATCAGGAAATACACATACTATTTTACCTGCAGAATTCTTTTCTCTGGTGCTGCTGGAATGTCTTGCGGTGTTGTAAAATTCTTTAAAAAGTTGTTGCGTTACTGAGATTGTATCGGGTATAATGCTACACTATTAGATTATTTGTCAAAGTGCCACAGTCTACTTTAACCTATTTGTTTTTTGTATGATAGTACCTCAATTTTATTAGTAATGAGTTATTACTGCATTACAGCAAAAAGTAATGCATTACTGTAATGTCATTACTTTTGTAATGCGTTACTCCCAACACAACACAATGAACATGAAACTTCAGAAGACTTGCAGTATGGGTGCCATAAGTCATATGACTTTTATGATTTTGTGGTTTTTGGAGTTTTGTTTTTCAAATATCAAACATTCTTCAAAAATGTAAGCCATCATATGACAATTATATTGTATGGAGACAGTAAAAATGCACAAACACATCATGAGAGCAGAGAAGTAAATAAGGAAACTCATTTTATAGAACCTAAAACTAAAACTATATGGGATCTTTAGTTAAAGTTATGTAAACTTTTAAACTTATTGGGCCTAAATGTAAATTTTTTTTGAAGTTGTAAATAAAGATTACTGGAGTATGTTTTAACAAGAAAATACTATTTTAGTTTTAAAGTTTTAAAGAGTAAGCCTTTCTTTGTAGCTGAACATCCAGAATGTGTCAACATTTCTGATGCTGAGAGGTTCCCTATTGTTCCAGCGCAAGGACCACAGAATAAAATTGAATTATCCCCACATTCAGGGTCTGTTTGAGCATCTACTGATCTTGGATTAACAGTCTGTTATGATGAACTTGTTTGGAAAAAGCTCACACATCATGTAGGATATGATATGCCACTGCCAGACACAACTACTGTATTCTAGTTGCCTGCTCTATTTTTACACTCTTTGTCATTTGGACTCATATCTAGGCATTTCAGAGTATTGATGTTTTCCTGTATATTTCACAGGAAATTATAGTCTGGTTTAGCCCTGGCATCTGTCAGGGTGCTTGTATTTTATGTGTGTTGTACACAGAGCAGTAGATTTGTGTTATTTGGTCTAAAAGAGGTGGTGTGACAGATGTTGGTCAGATTTGTGCGGATATTTGGGTGGGTGGGGGGGATAGACGCTTATCTGTAAAATTACTGGAGTATGTTTTAACAAGAAAATACTATTTTAGTTTTAAAGTTTTAAAGAGTAAGCCTTTCTTTGTAGCTGAACATCCAGAATGTGTCAACATTTCTGATGCTGAGAGGTTCCCTATTGTTCCAGCGCAAGGACCACAGAATAAAATTGAATTATCCCCACATTCAGGGTCTGTTTGAGCATCTACTGATCTTGGATTAACAGTCTGTTATGATGAACTTGTTTGGAAAAAGCTCACACATCATGTAGGATATGATATGCCACTGCCAGACACAACTACTGTATTCTAGTTGCCTGCTCTATTTTTACACTCTTTGTCATTTGGACTCATATCTAGGCATTTCAGAGTATTGATGTTTTCCTGTATATTTCACAGGAAATTATAGTCTGGTTTAGCCCTGGCATCTGTCAGGGTGCTTGTATTTTATGTGTGTTGTACACAGAGCAGTAGATTTGTGTTATTTGGTCTAAAAGAGGTGGTGTGACAGATGTTGGTCAGATTTGTGCGGATATTTGGGTGGGTGGGGGGATAGACGCTTATCTGTAAAACTCCTGCTGTCCGTTTAATCCTCAGAGCAACACAAGCGTCTTGTCTGTCTGCCTTCCTCTCAGACACACGTATTTAATATGTCACTGTGTCACTTTTTATCCTTTATTAAGCTGTTTATGTCTGTCAGTTCATTACAGGCTGAAAAAAATAGCTTTAAACAAACATATGAACAATTTGTTAGTCATAACACTGCTCGTTCTCACAGGTCCTGTACACCAGTGTTGCGTTCAGGGTATCCGTTCTTTACGCTCTTTCATCAACACCTGAGAATGGAATGAATTTGACAAGTCCCTCCCGTCAAACGTTCTTTTGCGTCTTTTCATTGGCTGCTCGGGATGGATTGACAGCAGCTCTCAGCCAATGAGCCCACAGGAGGGCGGAGACGTCAGACTGTTCTGGGAGGCTCGTGGATGTGGACCGGAGCTCGTGCCGCTGTGCTGAGCTGCGTGAAAATACGGTAAACCTGTCGCTAGCTTCAAGCTACGCGAGGTTTAGCAGGTCGTACGCGACAGAATATAGATTTAAACGAGTATCGAGAGGACCCAAAACTTGAACGACATTGTATAAGCTCGAGTGTGTAAAAATACGAAAGGTTCATAGTTTGGACGCAGGCTAAGTGAGCCGTCGGCAAGACCCCACCACCCCAAAGATTGAAACGGAGATTAAAACCATCATCTAATCTATTAAAGAGGATAACCAATGTCACACACACCAATCCTCTAAAGCAGCGACGCCAATGATCTGACAGGTAGGTCGCCAGTGGTATTTTATTTTACGTAAACGCTGTTTTGAAAAAGGGGCGATATAATGCTAGCTGTCATGCTAATAGTCCTGCCCAGCTGTGCTGCTACTACTACTTATGATTATATGTCAATCCAGCGCATCAGTATCTAATAACTTATTGATTTCTTTTTTAACATGTGAGTCATTTATTCTAGGCCTGTCGTTGCTGTCATTCCTCGTGTAGCAGAATAAGTCGTGTTTTAAGGGGGTGACCACAGATAGACTTTACATTGACATGTAACGTTACTCGTTGCGTTTTCAGGCAAAGCCTGAAATATGCGGATTAAATACCGTTTTTGTTGCAGTTTCACTGAGGTAATCGATCGAGGCCCGGTATGCTTCGCGCGACGCCACCGCCTTTCACCGCGCGTTCAGTATCGGCGTCGCGCAAATTCATGTCAGGGCCTAAAACCGATGACAACAGTGCAGCTGCAGCGAAACACACCCAAAAGATACACACCGCCTCAAAGTAAGACAACGCCGCACTGCTTTTTGATTTCTTTTTAGCCATTTCGTTTTGTGTTTTAATCATGTGCGAGTCATTCATTTTAATCAGATCACCTGCTAATTAATGCCCTATTATTACTCCAGTTAACAATGAGTAAAAATAGCAGTCATTGTTTTAAAATGAAATCATAACAGGGCACTAACTAGGTTACTTACAATCAGTGACTCACGTATGAATGAAAACGTGCTGGTGGAAATCAAACGGTTTCTGGCTGTGGTCCATTGTAATTTTTTTAGTGTAGGTAAGTGTAGGTCGCATAACTAGCTGTACCAGGTTAGATCTGGTGTTTGTCTTTTTTTTCCCCTCTTTTTTTTTTTTAAAGGGGCGTGTCTGGAAAATGAAAAACGTTCAAAGGGGTATGTAACAGATCTCTCTCTCATAGAATCAAAGAGATGCTTTGCTTCACTGTCACCATGTAAAATTGGCAGGCATTTAGTGGATTGTGGGAAATGCAGGTTGCCTCAGTTGGCAGGGAGTGTAATGCCACATGGCTTTAGGTTTCAGTCATTTTGTTGTGAGGGGACGGAGGAGGAGTTGAGAGAGAGAGAACTCGCATGAAAAGGATGTAATGAAGTGGAGGAATCATTACGCACTCTGTGTGTGTGACCTGAAACATACAGGATTGCATAGTCCAATAGCAACACAAGCATGATTTTGTGTTGTTTCGAAATGTGTCAGACAACAATTCCAAATGCAACCTGATTTTTAAGGCGTGTTCACACTTGGCAAGTTTGGTTTGATTAAACAAACTCTGGTTTAATTGCTCTGTTAGTGCGGTTCTTTGAGTAAGTGAAACTGCCATCTAACTGCCATCTAACCCTTGGTGTGCACCCAACAAGCGGACAGATATCCACCTATTGGTCTGCTTCCAAACAAACTCTGGTGCAGTTCGGCTGATATATGAATGCAACACTTACTGAAGACATCTAAATTAAACTAAAACAGTACGTGATGTCACTTGACCCTAAAATTCTCAAGCAGACCTGATTCTTCTTTTCATAAGAACTATGTTGCCTATTACAGTTTGGTACAGGTGCCATAACTGTTGTGTCCTTATAGCAGATCTTCGTATGGAATTCATGCCACTGTTTTGACTCCTTTACACATTATATAAGATTTTTTTTTATAAGAGTTTTGTGAACTGATAAAATACCACCATGTCTACACACAAGCACATTTAGCCCAACACACAGCATTGTTTTGGTTGTTGGGTACGTTCGCAAAATATGTCATAAAAGCTGTCCGATCAGGTTGTGATTGTATCCTTATACCTTTTGTTTTGTATAGTTAAAAATGACAGTGTGAAGTGAACCAGGACTAACTGCATCTTTTTCTTTTTTGGTCCAGACCAAAGAACTGACCTACAAGTGTAAAAACGGTGTCAGGAGACTGATTTCTGAGAATTTTTTTCTCATTTTTTAATTCATACATTTGCTAAAATCAGCACATTCTTAAAAAAAAAAAAAGACAGTTCAGAAAAAACACAACTGTGTTTGTTATATTAATAAGTAGGGGTGCTCCGATCAGGATTTTTGAGGCAGATCACCGAAAGCAGTATCTGCCGATACCGATCTTTTTAAAGCCTTCTTTTTATAATTTATATCTATTTATAGTGATACTTCAATCAGGATTTTTAGACATTTATTCAGGGCCTGAATTTCATTTTTGAAAATGGGTGAAATTCCCATCTTAGGTGACTCTTGTGAGAGGGGAAGCAGCTTTCACACAGGAGTCTGCTACTGATCCGTGGCTGTTTACCACAAACACAACATTTATTACAACATTATAATCATTCCATTTATTTTGATTTCAAATCCAAACATTGTCACTGAAAATGCTTTTTCAGCATTGCAATTCTTTTTTTACACAGTACAGTAATACAATCTTTCACAGACATGTTTAAACATATAAACAACACATTATTCAATGCTTTTTACTTTTGCATTTAATTCTAGATTTATATATTAAGTTGCTCAAGCAAGTGGCAAAACATTTAAACTACTTTTCTTACGTTATCACAAACTTACCATTGACAGAAATAGTCAGCTCTACTGCCTTTCCTTTTGCATTGAAATCTTTATTACAAGCAATCCTGCGGTTCATAAAAGACTTTGTTTTTCTACCTCCAGGAGTGCATTTATTATTGCCTTGTTTAGCTAAAAGTGCTCTTTTCCTTTAAAACTAGCCAACAAGCCATATGTGTTGACTGTGAAAGACGGTATACTTTAATTATATGAATTTATGGTGCAATTGCTACATTTTCGTTTTCATATGTACTGCAAACAATGTGCTGTCACTTTAATTCAGCGCGTGTATCACAGCAAAAATAGACTCGGTGCGGGAACGATATCTGCACTGCTGCAGACGCACCGCTCCTGAACGCACTGCCGTGTGCAGTGTGAATGCTTTAATCCGTTAACATGAGCGCGGAAAAAATACGCACCACATACCACGCACTGCAAACAGAGTAATGTGAACCTGGCATTATGTGTGTGCGCTGCAAGTGTGCATGAGCACACGGTCTACTGGAGAGCGCTGATTGGTTGAACACTGGCAAGAATAAAAAAAGTAATGCAAAAACTTTACTTGTATAAACTTTAGTGACGATGCGACACTGCCTCGATTGTGCAAGTGACAATTGCTGTATCAACTGTGCAGCGTGCAGATCGCTTATAGACATACGCGATGTGTGGTGATTTGAAGCCATTTGCGTATTTTGAGAGAGAGAGAGAGCGCGTGGTGAGTCGCTCACGCTGTTTGTGAAATGACGTCTCACACAAGGTTTTCAAATTACTTTGTAATATTTGATGAGTTTACCAACTTTATTTAAAAAATGTATTTTATTATATTTTATAGAGCACAGAAGTCTGACAGACTTTGTTGACTGTTTTCTTTACTTAAAGGTTTAGTTCACCCAAAAATTAAAATTGTCATCAAGAGTTTATTTCTTCTGTTGAACAGAAAGCATTTATTCTGAGGAATGCTGGTAACCAAATAGTTTTAACTTCCATATTATGGAAAACAATCTATTGAAGTCAATGGCTACCGTCAATTGATTGGTTACCCACATTCTTGACAATACCTTCGTTTGTACTCAATAGAAGAAAGAAACTCAAACCGGATTGAATCAATTGGAGGGTGCCAAATTATTTTAAATTTTTAGGATGAACTATTCCCTTTAACTTATTGCAAAAGCCAATGATGAGCTGTAATGAGACGATTGATGGTCTCATGCGTTATTTATCTAATTTATTTATTTTTATTTTATTTTAAAAAGGGACGTGTATTTGTTGTGGATGTCCCAGGATCAGAGTTCAATTAAATGTTCATATTACATTTTGATTAATATGTCCTTTAATAAAAATGTAATTGGTTGTATAGGTATTGGCCCCTGAATCTAAGTAGGCCTATATCTAATTATATAGTGTATTTCATGACAAAGATTGCATCAGTCATGTGTTTAGAATAATTTTAAGATTGTTTAATTTTTAATTATTATATTTTGAATGCATCTGGTTTGTTACCAGTGTGAGACAGCAGTGCACCTGCAGAGAAAGAGCCTGCCCTTTTGATTAGTTGTGATTGATTTGTAGCCTTGTTGCTTCCTGTGTGGACAAATTTATTGTTACTGGAATCGTATCATGTCTGGTTGGGACACGATGCCTATAAAGGTTTTTACATGCAGAGCAAAAATGAGGGAGACTGAATTTGAGCAAAAATCTACATGTACCAATCTTGTGTTTAAACAGTGTATGATCTTTCTGGGGGGAAAAAAGTGCTTAAGGTCTTTACATGACCGTACATGTTATTGGTATATTAAAGAGGTCATGAACTGAGAAACCAAAATTCCCTTCATATTTTGGCATATAAAAGGCCATTGTACTATAAAAACATCCTGTATGTTTCAGAACTCAAAACTTTTCTCGTTAGTCTAAAAACATCTTCTAATGAAGCCAGTCTGCCGAAACAACAGGTTGTGGAATGTTCTACTTTATGATGTAATAGTGTGGTTAAACCCGGCCTCAGCAGAAGATCAACACCTGCTTCTACATCACTGCCTGTTTAGCTCCGCCCACTGATTCACGCACATAGTGTAACAAGAGGCGAACGCAGGTCTTCACAAACTAAACGATAAAGTTCGCTCCGAATACAACAAGACGCTGTGCAATGCTAAGTTGTGGAAAAAAACGTCTTTGCATTGCCTTCATTCTGATCAATTTTAGGAAAGCTTGAATGATCTTTCTTTAATGAACTTGGTCCTTTGTTCATTTACAAACAAGGCACACGGTCTATATTAGCATCTATGAATGGTAAATATTCGTTATTTAAAAGGAGAAACCAAAACAAGGATGTACGCAGATATACAAAACGTAAACAAAGCAGTGCTTGCTTACCATTTTAAATATCAGTTATGTTGATAACTTTATTCATTTTAATCAGCTCACATTTTTATGAAA